TTGATGTTTTTCTTAGTTCATATCTTAGATGTTATTACTGTTTTTCTAATACATTTTATTGTTGGATGTAACTGGGACCCTGCGTACATAATTTCGCTCCACCACATGTACCACATGAGGTGCGAATGACAATAAAGAAACTCTGACTCTGACTCTGATAATTTACAGTAGAAACTTGGTGCTAGTTTGTAATTAGACATATCTTCACACAACATGTTCACAGAAAACCACACCTGTACACATTTATCCACCTTAAACGGTGGACGTTGTTATCAAACACATTACAGTGTTAGAAAAAGTATATATTTTTAATGGCTAGCTAAGTGAGCTAACGTTTTAAACTTAACCGTTGGACTTTCTACTCAAACGTAAACCGTGGTATTTAACGGACACTGGCTTTGTTTCGCTGTTTATTTTTTGAACAAAACCGATTAATGTAGAACAAATTAACCTAAGTGTAGTGAAAAAATACCTTTCTCTTTCTCTCGTCTCTTTAGTCTGAACTCCTCCAAGTTGTCGATTTGTTGACCAGCTTTATGGCGAACTTTCCTTAATCTCCACATTTCGTGACAATAAATATGCAGTCAAAACATGTAAAGTTTAGTTTTAAGTTAAATGCTTAAGTCATAATTCAATGTGCAGCCAAACAGTGTAGGTTTAAACTCTTCTTCAATGATTTTCTCTTCCGTCTTCAGCGCCTGCATCGCCACCTAGTGGACCCACTCCACACAACAACAATACGCCATACTGTTTACGGTTGAGTAGGCGGGGCCTAACGTTTACCATAACTAGTGCGCAGGCGCGGATTAACGAGTGAAAGTGTGATCTATGTTCCAGTTTATGTAAAGATGGCAGAGATATCTCTGGCTTCTCTATTGACTCCCTGTCAAATTCAGAATTTAATTCAAAATCCTTCTTCTAACCTAGAAAGTTCTCAACAGCCTAGCTCCATCTTATATTACAGATCTTATTGTTCCATATTTTCCCAACAGAGCACTTTGCACTTAGACTGCAGGCTTACTTGCGGTTCCTAGAGTTTCCAAAAGCAGAATGGAATCTTTCAGTTATCAGGCTCCTCTCTTGTGGAACCAACATCCAGTTTCTGTCCGTAAGGCTGACACATTGTCCAGTTTAAAGACTGGGCTAATGACTTTCCTTTTTGATAAATCCTCTAGTTAGGGTTGGCTTGTTGTACTGCCATAGGCTTAGACTACTGGAGGACCAAATGACCTAATTTCTTAAAATAGTTATAATTGAATAGTTTTCATTTGAAATTAACATGTGATTCTTGACCTGCCATTGTGTATCTGTTCCTCCTTCCTGTTCCTCTCAAACCCAGCTGGTCGAAGCAGATGGCCGCTTGTCCTGAGCCTGGTTCTGCTGGAGGTTTCTTCCTCACGAAGAAGTTTTTCCTTTCCACTGTCGCCTTCATGCTTGCTCAAGATGAGTCTAGACTCAAAGCAGTCTGCTACTCAGATAATTAATGTTAACTTACTTTTTATGTACCAGTATATAAATGTTTTTGTTCAGTGCTCTGAGATGACTTCTGTTGCGACTTGGCGCTATAGAACAGTAAATAAAATGAACTGAATTAAAACCAGCTTTTGACATGATAGCATTCAACCTTTATTTAGACAGGTAACTCCCATTGAGCATCTAGCACAACGGCTGTGGTTAGCAGTGTTGCCCCACAGCAAGGAGGTCCTGTGTTCAAGCCCCAGCTTGGACCTGAGGTCTTTCTGTGTGGAGTTTGCATGTTCTCCTTGTGTTTGTGTGGGTTTTCTCCAGTTTCCTCCCAGTCTAAAAACATGCATGATAGGCTGCCTTCAGGCCCAGACCTCTTTACAAGAGATCTGTGATCTCAATGGGATTTCCTGGGTTTAAATAAAAGTTTAAAAAAATAAATAAATGAATGTGTCTGCTGGCTCAAAGACAAAATGTGCAGCTCAATCTTTGGTAACCCAAGCAGACATTGTAACCAACTTAAAGATAATTTAAAAAACAAAACAAACGCACAAAAAAGCTCTACTCCAGATTCATGCGCGCCATTCATGAAATAAATAAAAAATAGAAATGCTATTTTGTGTCTTGATATAAGTTATTTAAAAACCATTTACAAAGTAGATAGAGTAGCAATAAAATGCTCCAACAATTCATCACACTTCACCCCTCGGTTTGATGTTCTGTAACACTGCTACAACACTAGAGGGAAGACTAGTTACACACTACTGTACAGTAAAAAATGAGTTTAATTTGTAACAAAAGCATTTATGTACAATTTATATGTGAAAAACTGCTGCAAACAATTTTTGTTTATAAAAAAAAATTGTTTCAATCATCGAATAAAAAAGAACTTTTCATACAATTAAAAGTTAATAAAACTACATTTATGCTTGATCTTGTCATTCACATAATTTGTTGAAGTGTGAAGTAGGAAACACACGGGGCAGTAATAAACATCAAAAGTTCTGTGAGCACAAACAAAAACATGCTTCTCTTGATTATCGCACTTAGGTCATCATTAAAAATGTAAAATATAAATTTAGAGAACACGTTTTAAGGTCTCGGGTTAAATTCCTACGTCAGACAAAGTGATTAAAGAGCATTTACTTTTGATACTAATCTTTTAAAGTAAGAAAAGTCATACCAAAATAAAATAGTCTGTTTCAGGAATACAGCACTTTAAGAAAATAGAATTATTGTGTGGCTTCATTCTTGGTTCCTGCATGGACGAACCGTCAGTTTTCCTCAGGACTCTGTGTGTGTGGATTTCCTTTTCTGTAAAAGATCATAAAGAAGTTTTTATTAAACACCAGCATTAAAACAGCTCCCTGCTGCTCTGGCCATGGCCGGATCCACTCTGGAGGGGCAGGTTGCCGGCGGGGCCTGTGGACTCGTCTCTACGGCCTCCTGGGATTTCTGCATTGTGGTTGCTGGGGATCGCCTGGGGCTTCCCTTTGCTTCTCTCTCTGGGGGGTGCGGGTGTCCCTGTTGGGGGACTCCCGGAGCTCCGGGCTTGGGGATCGCTGTGTGTCTGTGGTTCCGGTCTTCCCTGTGTTACCATCGTGTCCTGTGGGGACTGGTCTGTGGGTCCCCACATCCACTATTGAACATTTTTATGGAGAAACCTTATAGTGACAAGCATGCTCACACAGGTGTTTAGATTCAGATCAGATACACACTCAGCTGGGTTGTGGAGACCACTAAATATATATTGTATTACCATGTACTGTATAAAATACTTTCTAATGATGTTATAAGTATCATTATATATGTTGTTTGTTGTTGTGGTTTCTAGGTTTTGTCGTTTTTGTCTTTTCTTTCTTTCCGCAGGTCTAGCGACAGACTTCAACGATGTTGATTTGTGTTCTCTTTATCCCTCTCTCTCTCCTCTATTCCTATCTCCTTCTTTACCTTTTAACCCGTCTCTCACTTTTTTGCTTTGTTTTCGTCTTTGTTTTTCATCCCCATGTCCATTACATCTGAAACAAACCCAAAGCAAATTCTAATAAAGTTTAATTTATATATCAAGTGGAGCATTAAGGTCAGCCATAATGCTCTGCTTGTGAAAGTAAATCTGTTGGGCATCACTTGGACACTCAGACAATAATTCTGAGCGTCATAATGCCGGACAGGACAAGGGGAAAAAAAAACAACAAAAAAAACGGGTAACTTTTAATGCCTGCTGCCAAAAGTCGAAGGTAGGGCAATAATATTTTTGCCTATGTCGATTGTGTGTGTATGTATATGTACATATACATATGTATATGTACATATACATATACACACACATGCATTTGAGCTAAAAAAAAAACCCCAAAAGGGTTAAACCTGCTCCCTGATCTGTGAAAAGAACACAGTGTTGTGTGATTTTACTGCGAGACCCTCTGGTCAAAGCCACAGAGGAAACTGGTCGCCATTTTGTGTCAGCTCTCCATTAAAGCAGAAGGAGACACCCACTAGAGGGTTGGAGGGTGAAGTGTTTCAGTGTAAAATGCTGCTCTGTTGCTGTTCCATTTCTTAAGTGAGAATACTGGAAACTGTTTAGAGATAACAACATATTCTTTTGTTTAAAACATATGGCTAAAACTACATTTGATATCTTTTGCACTACAAGAAAGAAGCCTAATACTTGATTTGTTTATTATTTAAAAACTCTCTGGACATAGTGGTGGAATTTTCTTAATTGAGATTATTTTGTAGTATAGCAGTTTTCAAAATAAATGATGGCAAAAGGACACCCTATGCTTTTTTTCATTCCTATTGCAAGTTGTATACCAAAAACATACCGTGATATATATTGTTAACACCACCCTTCACAATACATATAATGATATGTATTTTATGCCATATCGCAATTCCCCATTTGACAATCAAATCAGCTGCATTTCAAAAATTGATTCGCGGCTGCTGGAGAGCTCAGAGGGAGGACTCGCTGTGCATTTTCTTCGAAATTTACCAAGATAACCACCTAAAAACAATTATTTGTTTGCTTGACATTATAGTAAAAGTGTGTCTCAGTTGAACTTTTCCTTAATAAATGCTCTTTATTGGTCAAATCAGCTGCATTTCGCCTGGGCAAAGTGGCAAAATGCAGCTGATTTGACGTTTGCTCCAGGAGTTCCGGAGCGAGACGAATGTGGCTTTGTATGGCAAGCCAAGTGTCTCATTAATAGCCACTTTTACCTATTAATGAGACACTTGGCTTGCCATATTAGTCGAGGTCCCTCTAGCAGCTGAAAATGGTCGTGTTTAATATTTTCCATGTCAGAATGAATGAAATTGTCAGATCAACCTAAAATTGGGCTATAAATATGGGAAAAAAATTATATTAGTAGCTTCGTGTATAAGTTGCAGGACTTGCAAATTGATGCAAAAAGGTGCAACTTATACGTCGAAAAATACAGTAATTAACTTTTGGAGCCAACTATAAATAAGTAATTTGGCTGCTACAACCAACTGAAACAACAAACAGAAATTTTTTATAATTCCACCAATTTTACCAATATTGAGGCTAACACATTTTTGTCTTAGCACAAGATGATGTTAGTTTAAAACTTTGGCGTGAAAGGCGATTCCTTTACAAGGGTGTGTCCAGTCCTGGTCTTCGAGGGCCACTATGCTGCATGTTTTAAAACGTTTCTCTGCTCCAACTCACCTGACCTGAATCAATGGGTGACTAACAGGCTTCTGGAGCACACGAGGAGGTAAATCAAACATCGAGTCAGGTCTGCTTGAGCTGGGAAACAAGTCAAGCATGCAGGATAGTGGCCCTCGAGGATCAGGACTGGACACCTTAATTTCATTCAGAACTTAATCTTAACTAATAACACTGTAAGCTTTGGATTTCAGTCTGGTGGTACCTTTCTGTGGGAGTCAGCCGGTGTGGTTTGTGTCGTTGTCACATCCTGAGCAAAAACAGCAGCTTCATCTGGGACCTCGTCTGATGTTAGTTTGCTTTTCTCTACGGGAAAGACAAAAAAAAATAGCAAACTTACAAGAATGCAAACTATATGCTGGCATCCCTGCAGGGGGTTCATGACTCACTTTTCTTCTTCTTTTTGTGAGGACTTGTCTCCTGGCTCTGTAGTTCCATCAAATCTGTATCAGATAAATGCTCCAGATCTTCTGGTTTCTTACAGTTTGCTGTCTGTGGAGTAGATATGTTGTCTTTACTTCTCACCTTCTTATGACCAGCTTTCTTTGTTTCTTCAACAGTCTGCTCTGAAATGTCTTCGTCAGGGTTCTTCTGTTTTGTTTTAATTTCTCGAGCTTCTTCCTCAGGATTTTCCTCATCGTCAACAGACTTTTTCTTTGCTTTCTTTTTCTTAACAGTACGCTCTGGATTTTCACCATCTTCAACACTGCGCTCTGCATTCGTTTGGACTTCTACAGCTTCCTGCTCTAAATGTTCCTCACAAATGGCCATTTCTGTTTTTCTTTTCACTTTCTTTCGTTTTACCTTTTCCTCCAATCTTTCCTCATTACCTACTGTATTTGTTACAGTCTGCTCTGTATTTAATTCCTCAGAACAATTCAGTTCGGAGTTGTTCTTGCCATCGATCCTCCTTTTCTTTTTCTTTGTTTCTTCAGCTGTATCAGCTGAATTTCCCTCACTTCTCTTCTTCTTTTTTATCTTCTTTTCTTGTACCGCTGACTCCGTCACGTCTTCTTCAGCTTCTGTTGTTGCACCTTTTGTTTTCTGCACAATCTTTTGCACTTTGTGTCCAGTCATTTCCTCGAGGACTTGTCCACCAGTCTCTGGTGCTTCAGTCTCCGTGTTGTCATCACGTGTCGCGTTTTCTTTCTCTCTCTTCTTCTTTTTTACCTTCTTTTCTTGTACCGCTGACTCAGAAATGTCCTGAGCAATAGTTGTTGTTTTTTCCATCACGTCGTCTTCAGTTGCTGCTTTTGCACTTTTTGTTTTCTTAACAGCTTTTTCCTTTATAACTTTTATATCCGTCTCTGGTGCGTTCCTGTCCGTGTTATCTTTATGCGTTTTATTTCCTTTCTTCTTCGGCGTGGGTTCAGATGCTATTTCATCTGTTGTTACCTCACTGGGAGGTAAAGGGATGATGGTGTTTTCAGTTTGTGGCTGTTTTTTAGGTGACACTGTGGGTGTAGCTGCTCTGTGCGTTGCTTTGCTGAGGGGTTTCTTCTGGTGTGGAGTCCCAGACGACAGGTGCGGTGTATTTTCTGGCCTGCTTATATTGAATATATCTTTTAACTCCCATGTCTGTGCTGCATCCTCCTCCTTGTTCTTTAAATTCATTCCAGCTGATTCATTATCCTGAACAGGAGAAGCAGATTTAGGAAGAGGTTTGGCACGTGGCTTTCGGACTCTTTTTTTCTTGGGCTTGGGTGCAGACGAGCCCAGAGCGTCGATGGATTCCATTTTGGCTAAGTCAGCCTCTGCAGAGAGAAAAGAAAAGGTTGGAGAGGTGGGAAAATACCCTCAAAGAGATGATCTCTGGGAGGTAAATAATTTTGTGCCCACGAAGAGGCTGTTTCGAAGTGGTTCTGTCCTGTCTGGTGACTCGAGCACATGCGCTGAGTCACAAAAAACAACAAAAAACAAAATCACTTAATGTAGGCTGACAGAAAACTGTTTGATGACTGCTCCCATCACCTCATCCTTTTCTTAGCCGAGTTACAAGAAAGATGCAGTCAACAAACACAGCCCTACCCGTCATCTGGAGGACCAGTTTCTTCCACTTCTCCACATCCAGACTGCTGTCAGAGTCCGAATCCCCCCCACCAGCAGCTGCAACCTCGCCTGCAGAGTCCAGCTTTGGTTTCTTTGCCTTGATGACACTCTTTGCAGACTTTTCTCCACTTTTAACCCGTTTCCCTGGAGACTAAGACACAAATAAACAAATGAAACAAAGATACGTAAATAAGTTGAAGAACTGCTACAATAAGCAACGAAGAGAGGGGGATTCACCTTTTTGGACGAGCTTGGATTTTTAACAGCTTTGTTGTTTTTCTTCCTCGCTGTGATGAGTTTGTCTAGACAAGTGAACAAAACGTGTTAAACTTCACAGTTTACATTGGACTTAGGAGGTTTAGATCAGGGGTTCCCAAACTTTTCCATGCCATGCCCCCCCCACCCCACAAATTCTTGCAGAGGCCCCCCCTCGCAAACCCACAAATGCTACAAAATATGTAAAGAAACACCAACTTTTATTCACTATATTCTATTAATTATTACAGCTGCTGAGCATAAAAATGTTATTAACTAACATGTTTTAAACACTGTTTTATATTCCCACTGAAAAAACAACAACTTTTCAACAAACTGTTGACCAAAAGAACAAAAGAAATCTAAACTCTCTCTCAAGCAAGTTTATCTGGAAATGACACAGATTGCCTGAGTGGGTAATTTTTATTATTATTACTATTTTTCATTTAGGGGCTGAGATGGTGTAGGGGCAGGGCAGCCGACTCGGGACCCGAAGGCCCTGGGCTCGATCCCTGGTCATTGTACGACTCGTAGTGTCTCTGAGCAGAATACCCAATCCCGAATTGCGCCTACATAGCTGCCCACTGCTCCACCTGGGTGTATCCCAGGTGCGATGGGTTAAAAGCAGAGCAAAATTTCATCTTTGTATGGAAACATAAAATGATAGCACTTATTATTATTTTGCTTATTTTTATCTTCTTCTCTCCAGCTTTTTGGGGCCCCCTAGCAGCCCCCACTTTGAAAATCACTGGTTTAGATAATTGTTGAGGCAAGTTAAGTTTTGTTAATTAAGATTCAATATGATTTAGTTTCATCGCTCAAGTCTAAACCATAAATGCTGAAACTTAACAAAAATCACATGTTTAAATGGTGGCTGTGGTAGCTCAGTGGGCAGTGCCGTGGTCTTGTAATCCTGAGGTTGTGGGTTCGAGCCCAGGTTGTGTCAGGAAGGGCATCCGGAGTAAAACGAATGCCAAATCTTTCGTGCGGGTTCACTCGTTGTGGCGACCCTTGAAGAAGGGAGCAGCCGAACGAAACGTCTAAAAGTGTTTAAACGCCACCAGGAGTCGTGCTTCTAGATGAGCTTCAATATTTTACTGAAAATAAATTGCGGTAAGCACATGCTAGCAGCATGGCAAGAATTAGTGTATATTTACGCACATTTTCACATAATGTTCAATTTCATACATCCCAACACGCGCGTGGAACATGGCGTTCACTATTTTTGTGTGTGTACACGAGGCTGCTGTTCACTGGTTTATGAGATATTTTGCTAACAGATACAGACACTAGCAGGTAAATGAGGCTCTGCCTTTCATGGCAGCGGACAATGATTATGAATTATTCAGCTACCTGAGAGAGAGAAGGAAAGGTTTTAAAGGAATATGATTTCTGTAAAATAAACACACAGTAACATGAAATGTGTTTGAGTTGCCACAACGAACGAGCTCCAGCCTCTTCAACACATCTACAGCCCACCCTCCTGCTTCAGGACTGCAGGGTTGTTGGGTACATTTGCTTATGTGTATGAAAATATACCACTAATGAGTATATGCAAGTAGTTTGATCCCAAATGTTAAAACATAAAAACAAAAGGTTACACCTTTAGTCGGCGTCGTTCCTTTTTCTCTTGGACTGGAACATTTGGCTGGTTTCTGCTTTTTCTTTTTGGACGTTCTGCCAGGAATGAAAACAACCAATTGCTGACATGTCACTGTACTGAAACACAGATACTCATCACGTTCAATTGGAAAAAAAAAAAAACAACTCACTTCAACCATGATTTGTAGATGTCCGATAAAGACACAGATGTGTCTGCCTCCCCCTGAAGACAATGACAGGAAATTAAACCACTTTAACAGGTTCAGACAAACATTTCCCATCTGAGCTCAAAGTAATAAAACCTTGATGCTAGTTTTCAAAATGCACATCTTCTTTTGTAATTTTCACAGCGGAGTCACTTTTTGCTTTTGCTTTAAAAATGATCAAGATCCCCCCAAAAAACTCTAAAACTCTTCACATTTATCTTTTGTTAAATTTTATTTTATTTTCTGTATTTGAATTTGTGTCAAAAAGTCTAAATGCTGAAAAAGTAATCATGGATGAGTGTTGATCTGAGAAAAAACACTGGAAAAGGAAACATTTGGAACTGGTGCTGGGTAAAAGACGTTAGGCTTTATTTGAACGCAGCAGTTTAATTGGAAGTGTTGGACCTAAAGGAGAATTTGAAGTTCTTTCTAATGCAACAAGAAGGGACTTCTTTTGTTCTCACTCGCCCTCGAGCAAGACGGACACCTTTCTCCCCTCTCCTGCCTTCCTCCTCTGCTTTTGCTCTTTGTCCTGTGTATCAGAGCTTCTACTTCAGCATCTTCTGCATCGTAAATTACTGTTATGGATTTGGTCAGCTGGACTTGTTGTCAAATTCACATATAATGTGTCTAAATGTGCTTGTTGGTAGATTTTTTTAATGTCTTAAACTGTGTCCTAACAAGGACAAGGAGTGAGAGATCTTTTTTTAAATATCCACAATCCTCACGGTCTTTCCCCTTTTCTTATCTAAAGAATAAAGGCCGCGCTCCTAAGAGCTGCAGCCACGTGCACTCCGCCCATCTTTCAGACGACTGTACGGAATATAATCTCGCTGTACTTCACTGTGCAATGACAATAACGCTTATTCTGATTGTGATGACTAGAAACGACAAATATTTCCTACATTTTCAAAGTTTAATATGAGTAGGCCTGTCACGATAACAAATTTTGCTGGGCGATTATTTGTCTCAGAAATTATTGCGACAAACAATAATATTGTTTGAAATTTGACATTAATTGGTAATTATTGTCAAATTGAAAAAGAAACTGTTAATTTTTTGCAAGTAATACATTTTTTGACCACTGGAAGGCAGTATAAGACTGTTTGAACTGAAGGATGGATAGTGAGAGAGCGAGCAGCATATCTCTTAATAAAAATGGGAGTGAGGCCCCTTGACGTGACATGGGCTGTTTCTCTCTCCTTTGTTTTGGTTCTCATAATGGCGGACACTCTGTGTGGATTGAGCTCTTTCACATAGCATTTTTCACAAAGCCTTTAATAAAAAAATCAGTAAACAAGTTCTCAGCTTCTTTTTGCAGAGAAAAACAACTTTTTACACAAAGGCACGAGTTTCAATTGTGAAATCTGGAGCTTCGACAAGATGGCGTCCCCCCGAGGTCGGCCTGTTAGCTCGTAGCTTAGCTTCTTTTAACAACCCAAAAACGTGGTTTTGGACGATTAAAATTGATTTTTTTTTTAAAAGAAAAAATGGAAGAGTCAGTGAAGAGCACCGGAGTTGAGCTTTTTGTCATCCAGTGTCTTCAGTAGAAAGAACGAGAGACCGAGAAACGATAAAGCCGATAAATGAAAATGAGGACGATAATTTTCATTTATCATGCGATGAATTGATTTATTGTTTATCACGACAGGCCTAAATCTGAGTAATTACCTTGTTATCTACGACAGTAAAACATACTAACTTTAAGATGAATATAATGACTCGAGGACTTCTAAAGCATTAATGTGGAAGTAGCCCGCCCTGGGGTTTAGAGGACCCCAAAATAGTGACAAAAACTAACTAATGAATGCCAAACACATTACTTGACTTATTTTTAATGCGTAAACTTCATAACTGAAAATACATTTGATTTGTTTATTCCTATTTGGATTATTAAGTGCTTAAATATTTCTGGTGGATTTTGGTGGGTTATTGCTTAGTTCACTTCATTTTTTCAAAGTCAAAACTAGTTTTAGTAATGGACTCTGTGTAATTCTAAGCCATAGTGATTTGTAAATATTCTTATTACTTTGTAAGAATCTGATGAAGTGTCGTTTCATAAAAATACTCTGTACTTGCACGCAGCAAAAGCTGCTTGACGTCAATTATATCAGACAACATACTTTTCATAAAGTCAGGTAAGTTAAACAAAGCGCCTGCATTTTCTTTAGTTTTAGACTTTTATTTAAAAAACAAACTCTGAAGTTTCAACATACTTTACTCTGTGTAATCATAAGACATTAGAATAGGTAAAGTGTTCGGTTTTATAAAAGATTGTTGTGGAGTTCCATGAGTATGGGATTGGAGACCAATTGGTATGGGTTGTTCGGTCCCAATACAAGTGGTGCAAAAGTTTGGTTCACATTGTCGGTAGTAAGTCGGACCCCTTCAGGGTTGGAGTTGGGACTCCGCCAGGACGGCCCATCGTCACCGATTATGTTCATAACTTTCATGGACAGAATTTCTCGGTGCAGCCAAGGGGCAGAGGGAGTCCAGTTCGGTGGCCTTCCCTGCTCTTTGCAGGTGGCGTGGTCCTGTTGGCGTCACTGTGTTATGATCTTCAGCTCTCACTGAAGCAGTCCGTAGCCGAGCCGAGTGTGAAGCGGCTGGGATGAGAATCAGCACCTCCAGATCTGACGCCAGGGTTCCTCAGCTGGAAAAGGGTGGAATGTTCTCTTCAGGCCGAGGGTGAGATTCTGTCTCAAGTGGAGGAGTTCAAGTTAAAGTAGATTCTGAAACCGGCCTTTAGTTTAAAAAAAAGTTTTAATTATGGCCCCCTTTTGTAAGCGAGTTTGACACCCCTGGTCTACAGTATTGCGGAATCTGTACCGGTCCGTTGTGGTGAAGAGAGCTGAGCTGTAAGGCAAAACTCTCCGTTTACCTGTCAGTCTATGTTCCTACCCTCACCTATGGTCATGAGCTCTGGGTAATGACCGAAAGAAAGAGACCATGGATACAGGTGGATGAAATGAGTTTCTTCTGCAGGGTAGCTGGACTCTCTCCCTTAGAGACGGGGTGAAAAGTTCAGTTATCCAGAAAAGACTCAGAGTAGAACCACTGCTCCTCCACACCGAGAGGAGCCAGTTCAGGTGGTTCGGACATCTGGTAAGGACGCTACCTGGGCGTCTCCTTAGGGAGGTGCTTGGGCATGTCCGACTGGGAGGAGACTCTGGGGAAGACCCAGGACACGATGGAGAGACTATGTCTCTCAGTTGGCATGGGAACCCCTTGGGGTCCTCCCAGAAGAGGTGGCTGTGGAAAGAGATGTCTGGGCCTCCCTGGCCCCACTCGACTTATAATAATAATAATAATAATAGATAATGGATGGACGTTGTGGAGTTGCCTCTTATTTGTCTTGCTGATATTCATGTATCTCGACCTTTTCTCTCTTCAAAAAAATGTTTGGTTCATGAAAAATACATACTTTATTTTTAGACTCTTCAAAGCTTATATAGTTGGTCTTATTTTTCCGGTGCGTCACACTTTAAATATTACATTAACAGTAGACTAGAAACTTTGATGTGCGCACGCGCACACACACGTATTTTAATTTGTCACAGGGCACCAAAAGTAGCTGTAGCCCAGGGGTCCACAAAATTCTTAATCCTGCCCTGTTCGTAGTAGTTGGTTGACTTCTTCTGGTTGTTTTTTATTGATTCATTCATTTGGTGTGCCCTGTCACATGTTATGGACCATAATGCTTTGTTTTACAAATCTCAACTTTCTTCACTGGAACTACAAACTCCTCCTCTGGCAACTACTAAAAGTTAAACCGGAGTCGTGTTTTTGCACAGAGTATAAGGACACCCAAGTTGTTACCGTCATTGTTATAACTGGGTGTGTGTCCGTGCGCTGACCTGAGGGGTGAGCCTGTGCAGCTCCTCAGCAGCTGAATGGAAACCATTCTCCTTCAAATGGCGGTAAACCAGCAGGTTCAGCTGCGACGCGTTTACTGACATTTTTTTTAAGCTCGAATAAATAAAAAAAAAAAACAAATTCCGCAAAGAAGATATCACGTTAGAACTAGCCACATGGCGCACCAACTTCCGCACGTCGAACTCTGAACCAGGACGTAGTTCCTTTAGCCACTGCCGCACTGCATGATGGGAGCTGTAGTTCTGCGGTGCTGGCTGTTAAAACTAGGAAAAAAAAACTAAGCTTTTCATTTGTAGCTACCTTTTTTTGTTCTTAGGATAACTACTAGCGGCTACGCTACAAAATGATCTTTTGGTGTTTCAATATAAATTATTTTTGCTCAGAAATTCAACCCTACACTTACAGCCGAGACAAAATTTCAACAACTGTTTAGGTCACTCAAGTTTTACTTTATTTAAACATATCATAATAAATCAGTTAAGTTAATTTTCAATGATTTAATGATTAAGATTTATCCAGAACATGATCAAGTGGTTCAATAGAAGAAAACTTGACTTCTTATATTGCACCAATTCACGACAAAAGGTCATTTCATGCAAAGGGGGTGAAGAAAAACAAGTCCAAATCATAAAATCAATTAATGTTCAGTCTTTTTTTCTTATAACGACCTAAAAATATGCTACACATTATGAAGTGCCCAGTTAGTAAAAAACTATGAAGCCAGCAGATTGGCTGAATCTTCACGTTGGTGCACATTAGTGACAGTGGAAAGGAACAACTCTGAAGAAACCTCCAGCGGAACCAGGAAGGGGCACATTCTGTCTCGATCGGCTGTGGTTTGAGGGGAAGAGTTTCTGTGAGAAGAAAATCAGAAGAACACGGTTAATAAAAGACAAAAATTGCATGTGTGATTATGGAGAGTGGAGGGAGTAAAACAGCAGCAGAAGGGGGAGACAGTCAGTTTGTCAGCAGTCTAACACTGTAGCAGCAGAACTAAGGGATAGCTTAGGAAACCCAAGCTGACCCCAACTATAGAATTTATCAAAAATGAAAGATTTATGCCTTGTCTTAAAATAGACAGAATGTGAGCCTCATAGAAAGAAACTGGAAATTTATGCTACAAGAGAGGAGCCTGAAAACTGAAAATTATGCTTCCCATTCTACCTTTCTCTAGGACCCACAAGTAAACCTAAGACCTGCTTGGTTGTGGCCCATTTTATATATTAAAAGTAAGATTTTAAATTCTAAAAAGTTTTATCCAATACTTCATGTTGAGTGTCTTAATTTATGAAGATTTTATTAAACATATGACCCATAACTAAGATAGAACTTTACTGATCCTGCAAGAAAACTATGTTGTTGTTTGACAATTGTTTTTTTTTAAAATTAGCTCAGATTTGGTCATTGAAAGCAGAAAAACTGTTGTGCCCAACAATTAACTACCGGTTAATATGATATATTAAAAAAAAAAAACAGACATAAAACAATAGAGCAAAATATGCGTGTAGATTATCCTCTATTTGAGAATATTTGGTCCAGGTTTGTGAACTGATGAGGTTGTGACAGTCTCGTTTTAAGAACTTCCTGTGCCCTTTCTGATTCCTGTACAAGTGAGTACATGTATTTATGGTTTACTGCACAGCTTAAAGCATGTAGAACGCAGTTCTTATGTATTCGGGCTCTTTAGCTGTACAAACATCAACAAAGGTCCATTTGTGGAGTATGATGCAAAGTAAAAAACTACTGCTGAGGCCCAATACTGACCACTTTTGTGTACTCAAGAAAAAAAAAAAAATCGTTCAACAAGTTTTAAAATTACCTTCCTCTTCTTCTCTCAAACAGGTACCATCTAAACTCTGTCTTGATTCTTTGTGTCCTAAAAATATCTCCCATCCAGAGCCAGACAATCAGGGCAATTAGAGAGCTGCCGGGAAGGTCAGCCTCGTCGACTGACAGGTGTGTTTGGACAAAAATGTGAGACACGACTTTTGCTGATTGGTTTGGGAAGAAAATAAAAGTAGCTGGATGAGATGGACTGCCAGGTTAGAAAAGCTGGTGGTGAGACCTTGGGTCAAATTAGAGAAGAGTAAAAGCAGAGAGTTGGGAGCTGAAAGAGACCCATTCATCAAGGAAAAACCAGGAAAGGAAAACAGTGCGGATTCCAAACTCAACGTTGGTCTTCAGCAGGTCGCACCAAGCTTGATTTCACCGCCCTCCTCCCCCAACAAATACACACACCTACCTACCTACCTTCCTCAATATATATATATATATATATATATATATATATATATATATATATATA